GGTTTTTGTTCTCCGTGCAGCCGTGCAGAACGAGGGGAAATATCCCGCGAATCCGGGGATACGAATCGACTCAATCGCTATGCTTGTTAGCGATCCTTAATTACCAGTGATAATTCTATAATTGTCTAATATACTGAAACGTTGTAGACTTTTTCCTGTTTCCCTTGCACTCTGATTCTTCTGGCACAGTTTCTCGATATTTTCATCGGCAGTGAAGGTTGACATGCTGGCCAGGTAATATTTTTACAAATTTACAAGCCACATTCACACGAGGATCGTCGACAGTGTTTATGAACGAAGAAACGGTCTGTTAAGAACTTTTACGAGCTGTTTTAATGCAGATATGTAGATCTCGATGACTCGTTCTCGATGCAACGTGTCAGAAGAGGAAGGAAGGAGTTACGAGTTATGCGAAATAATTGGCACTCGCTTCCGAGGATTTCATTTAACCGCTCCATACCATCGAACTCATAGCTTTTTAATTAACACAACGCGGATACGGAATTTTAACAAGCTAGAGTTTCTCCGGCTAATTTCAAATCGCGATCCTCTCTCTAATGGTCTATATTTTATGACGCGGTTATTTTGCTTTTTCAGGTGAGAGCGACAACGGATTTTGGCGTCCTCCGCATCCTGCTCGTCTGCATGAAGGACTCGAGGTACCGTGTCTAACTTAACGTTCTATAAAGTATTTAGCGCTCGAAGTATATTTTTACGCGAGGCAGCGACTGTAAAGTGTCACCGGTTGTTATTAACGTGTTCAACATCGTGCGGAACTTTCGCCGGACAGAGATGCCTCTATCAAAGTATACGGTATATTAGAAAGTTTTGCTTGCGTCAGCTTGCCTCGCCGATAGCTTCGCATCGCGACAAATATTATGCAGGAAGCTAAGAATTATGAGAGTAGAGTGAACGAAAACAACTTTAGTGCAACGCCGAATCGTTTCCAGAACGTTGAATCATAGCTAAGAAGATCGTGCTTGGACTTTGACTATTTTGAATTCCAGAAGATAAACAGATCGGACAGTCGTGCAGTACATACGTTCAGAGAATCCAATTTAACAGAGTCTCAGAGTTGAAACAAGTTCTTTTTTTTTAATCTTTGTTGCGTCCCTGTTCGAGTTTATTTTTGTTTAAAACATAAATTTGAAAGTGGATCAAGGGTGAGTAATCTGCTGCGTCAATCTACTATATTTTATGAACTTTTACGGTATCACGGTTGCGCTTAACTTCCCTTAGATCAAAACTGCTTCCACCTTAGTACTGTTCCTCTCTCGTTTAATTAGTTTGATTTCTAACATTCGACCAAGTTAGATCCTTATGAGGTTATGCGTAAGATGTATCTTTAGTAAGTAGTAAGCTAATTTTGTTAATTTTAAATTAAATTTAAGCTCGAACGTGACTTTCTCATTATGTTTTAAAAATTATTTCTTTCAAATGTTCAAATATATATATGTATAATAAAAAAATTACGTATTTATTTTAATAGGTGATGACTTTTGGCGCATCCTGTATTATTTGCACTTAATATTCGCGATCTATGTTTGCAAATCTCACCACTGCGAATATTGATTCTAAAATCGTCAATGTTTGACTATTCTGCACCTCGCCTCCAACGAAACGATTAATTTCGGACGTGATCTCGCGTTTATCATCGATCGTGGATCGTACTATCTTCCGATGGAAACGACGAAGACGATGAAAGACACTGGTGACTTTGGCGTTACAGCTCTGGTGCCTCGAAAGGATGAGGCGGCTCGACGACGGCCATGCTCAACGACCGCCTCCGTTTAGGGTGCTCGCGGCACCCGACGGCAATTATCTGTCACCGAACGCGATCTCGCCGCCGCCGCCGCCGCGTGCACCCGAGCCCTACAAGCTCGCGCCATCCGCCGCGTCCTCCTCGAGGGCGCATCGCCGATCCAGCTTCGTCATCATCGCGGACTCGAGGCCCGTTTCCCCGGAGGCGAGGAGCCCGTCGCCGACGCTCGCCGCTGGAAGGATCTCGCCGTTTCGAGGACGCGGCTTCAAGGCACCGCCACCGCGAGCCAAGTCCAGGCCACAGTCTCCGGAACACGTGGACGCTCGTAAAAGAGGAAGAAACGAACGACGAGGTAAGGAACACACATTCGCGCGCCAACTGTCGTTTGAAACTGTCGTTTTGTTACTAGTTTTTCAGCGTGTTACTATCGATCGAGTAAAAAGTAATTTCGTATTTTCGCGCAAAAGTGAAACAAGTTTTTCTTTTCATATTCATCTTCACGAAATATGTGCCCGTTTTGCTCGACTATTTTCTGCCATTTTTTTTTTCACCATAGCCCCGTCACTGCGACACGTGATTTTCACAGGCCTCTTTTGAAATCAACTTTACACCATTAAGAGAATATAGATACGGTGGATGATTAAAATTTCCAAGCTCAATTTTTTACGGATCGTTCAAATTTTTCGGCGTTAAATCACGTGGCCCTAAACATTAAGCTTTTCTTTTTGTATCCAGCCTTTTGCAAATGGTTTAAAACTGTTTTGTGGTCGTTGTTTAGTTCTTTACCGATGCTAATGTCCCGGTCTTGCTCAATTTTTTCTATT